CAGACATGTGCTCGGCTGGGTCAGACCCCTCCTTGACCCAGGTCAGACCCCTTGGGGTCAGACCCTGGGTCAAGCCAAGGCGACATCAACGTCGGAGCTTCCGGGCACGTGAACCGCCGGGTCGGCCGGCCGTCCACCACTCGCTGCTAGCTGCTCGAGCTCGGGCTCGCCTTCAGCGGCCACGAACCCGCCTTCTAATTGCCAAGTTCTTGCCAGTTCCAATTTTTCTTTCCAACTGTCCAATGTCTCGGCCATCCATAAGCGCGGGAGTGAAACCGATGGCCTTCAGGAACGCTGCGAGAGACTTGCCACAATGGAGATGGATGCCGACCCAGAGGAGCGTGTCTGGGAAACACCTCCAAAACCAGCGAGAACCCAGAGAGGTGCAAGGTGTAGCATAGTTAGCATATCCCGTCGTCATCGTGGCATCTGAGTCTTCATCTGCCTTCGCTCGAGGTGGGCAATTTCACCCTGCAACTTGAAGGCGCCCTGCCCGCGCTCCCGGTAGTACGCGGTCGACTATTCTACGCGAGGGCCGACCATGCATCACGTGTTGACCCCTCGAAAAGGTCAGACCCGGGTCAGACCCCAAGTCAGACCCCGGGGTCAAGCCGAGAGGGTCAAGGGGTTGAGTCTTGACCCGCACACCTCTGGATATAGACGTGTGACCGAAAACTTTCGGCGCCCTGTAGAAAGTGCTCGCCGTGATATAATTGCTAAACAAACATACATTACTAAGGACCAGTGGCTGAGTGGTAGCTGTCGTCAGTAATCTCACGGTTCTGGGGTTCGAACCCAAGTGGGAGTAATTTTAACTCCCCCTATTTATGGGCTGCTTACCAGGTGCATCCTGGCATGAATTAGCCTCGTAATGGGTGCATCCTCGACAATGACTTGCATCCATCAGGTGGTAGAGCACCGACAAAGATGCATCCAAGTTACTGAAGCTGCTCCATTTGCATGCACACACGCAGGAGAGCGAGTGGAGCCAGGACCTGATACAGTGAGTGAGTTAATTGGTACATACATTGCACCCTTCGTAAGCTGGTTGCGGAGGCCACTGTCGTCTTGCAAGGTGTACACATTGTTTTGTCACTGTTGGCTGCATATGTTTGTCAGGAGGCTGTCCTAAGGGGAATGTGCCTGCGGAAGCGACATAGTGGGAGGCGGCTTGCAAACAAGGGGGATAGAGATGGTGGACGTGGTGGATAGAGGGACAGAATGTACATTGAGGAAATCCGAACATCGGCGCCTAAAGTGCATGACATCATATCCTCGCCGAGGAGAGAGATCGATGCCGAGAAAAGAAGAATACGAAAACAGAAGAGACGTGGGTAGAAAAACATTCCTCTTCACTGGGAAAGGCGTGATAAAACAGAGGGAAAGGGGGGGGAGGAAAGTGGAAGAAATGCATGCAGATGTTGATGAGCATACCAAAGAATTCCTCCTCGAGTACAACACCTCCTTGTGTTCGACTCCTCCTCGCCCTCCCCCTCATGCCTAACTCCTTCAGTGCTGGGACAAACGGGGAATGTAGAATGATTGGGGGTGGTGAACACGATGATGGTAGCCGGGGGGGGGGGCAGTGGAGCGGCGATGTGGTTTAGAGGATTGTAGAAGTCTGCAGGCTTGGGAGTAGGAGCGAAAGCGACAACTGGGGTGGCTGGCCTAAAGGGCACACGTGCTAGTTCATTAGCACAAAGTAATGTATCACAAAGGCCTTAGGGCCTGTTCGGCAAAGAGTTGGAGTTACGAGTCACCGGCATTTTGTCACGTGGCGACACTTCCGAGGATTTCTGCGCGAGTTAGAGTTACAGGGGCGGAGTATCCGTGAAATCCGGAGGAGACAAGCGCCCTGAACTCGTACATGTATCTAGTAGTATGTATACCGATAGCTATGGCTTATCAGATGGGCTCTGCTTCATCCCTGCTTCACCATAGTCCGCACAAGAGCAGCTGTCAAAATTCACCAACCTAATATCGGGCTCATATAGAGCGCCGAAGACAGGCTATAATAGCAGTAACTGTCATTGTTTTGACTAGGCGGGCCTCGGTAGTAGCTGCTCTAATCCCTCAGGCCTCAAGTAGGATGGCCTCAGATGTCTGATCACATTCCACGTCGATCATGGTAGCCATCCCAATACTCTAGAAAGAGAGAATCAAGCAGGCTGCCAAAAGGGTAGAGCCTCGAGACAAGTTACGACGTGCGCGTGAGCTCTGATAACAACCGCCCGGAGTTACTGGGAGGCATCCGAACGCATGCACTCGCCTGAGTAACTCGAGTTCTCTCGAGATTGAAAACCGAGATATTATTACTATATTTGGGCATGAAATGCCGGTAACTCTAACTCCAACTCTTTGCCGAACAGG